TTCGGGGTGTGACCAGAGTCACGGAACGAATTAAGTTCGTAAACCGAGGTTCCACTGTACTAATCTGAAGGCAGTGAAAAATGCTTACACCTTTACCTCCATTACTTCCACAAAGGATTTATGCCAGGGTGGGGCTCCTTTTCCTTGCTGTGCAGTATTTCTTTACCTAGATGGCTTGCAGTTAGCAATATGCACGATTCTTTGTAAAGCAAATGGATCAGAACTGCTTTGACCTGGGCTTCAGTGCTGTGGCAGATCATAGCAATGTAACCTCAAGCAATTACCTATTCTAGTATTTTGGTTTCTTTTCAGCTTGCATATGTTAAGTGGACAATGTATGGAGAGATTAGGACTACCACCTGCTTATTTGATCCTTGGCCTTCCTGGCTGATAATCAGCCAAGATAAGACTGGTCCTGTGGTTAAGGGAATGATTAGCAGCTCCTTGGGGCAAGATGTGATCTCTGCTTGATTCCGAAAGACAATTTATAGGGTCTCTGTTGAAGAAACCCTTGGGTGATCAGAAGTTCTAGGTAATTGCAGTCCAGCCTCAAACTTTCAGTTTCTGGGAAAGTTGATTAAGAAAATGGTACCTTATCACTCCAGACATCTGGACAATACTGATTATCCAGAAACCTTTCAGTTTGGCTTCTAGTTGGTCCTGACATGCTTTGGTTGCTTTAATGGATGATCTATGCTGCTGACTGGATCCAAGGCTGGGGAGGGATACAGACCTGCTTGTTTTCCTGGAATTCTCAATTGTTCTGTTGTGGATCTAGTGGGATTGGATTGTCCTGCCTATTCCCCTGTGACCAGAAGATGATGTGGAGGACAATTCTTCATCCCCTAAACTATTAATCTGTGGTATCCCACGGAGTCTGTCTTGTCTTACATAATGTTCAATATCTACATGAAATTGAATGGGGAGGCCATTTGGAACTTTCAAGTGAGGTGACATCAATATATTTATGGCAATTCTATTAATCCTTACCATTCAGTTCTAAGAAACTAACTGGTATACCAGCTGTAGGCATGGCCAAAATATTGGTATCCCCTCCACTTTTTCCCACAGCATACCAATTTGCTGTGAAATAAGTTGAAACTGACACAAATGGCATCCACCATTCTTTATTCCATAGTCCATTAAGCAGACACTTGCTTTTGATTGATGACTAAATATATTCTTGTAAATAATAAAACAAATGAAAATAGCATGGATATAATTATTGGTACTCCTAACCTAATATTTTGTAGCACACCCTTTTGAGGCAATAACTCCAATCAAGTGCTTTCTGTAGCTCTGAATAAGACTTCTACACTTCCCAGCTGGCAATCTGTTCCACTCTTCTTGAGCAAACTGCTCCAGTTGGCTTAGGTTTGATGGGTTCCTTCTTCCAACTGTGAGTTTCAGCTCTTTCCACAAATGTTCTGTTTGATTCAGATCAGGACTCATAGCAGGACACTTCAGAACAGTCCAATGTTTGTTTTCCAACCATTCTTGGGTTCTCTTAAATGTACTATGTGTTTTAGCTCATTATCCTGCTGGAGGACCCATGACCTGTGACTGAGACAGAGCTTTCTAACACTAGACATTAGGTTTCGCTCCAAAATGCCTCAATAATTTTCTGATTTCATTGTGCCCTGGTGCCAGCAGCAGCAAAACAACCCCTTAATATTATGGAGTCTTCTCTAAGTTTCACAGCAGGGAAAGTGTTCTTTTCTCTAAAAGCATTGTTCTTTCTTCTGTGAACCTAGAGCTGCTTTGACTTACCAAAAAGCTCTTATTTTGTTTCATCTGTCCAAAGGACATTCTCCCAGAAGGATTGTGGCTTGTCAATGTGCATTTTAACAAACTCCAATCTGACTTTTTTGTGTTTGTCTTTCAGATGTTCGGTCTTCCCAGGTCTTCTACCATGGAGGCAATGGATGATGCGACTTCATATTGCTGTACCTTGATCTTGGAGGTCAGCCAGGATCTGTTTTGAAGTTTTCCTTGGTTCTTTCTCCACCATTTGAACTATCCTTCTGTTGAATCTGGGATCAATTTTCCTTTTGCAGCCACATCCAGGGAGGTTGGCTATGGTCCCATGGACCTTAAACTATTTGATGATATTAGCAATCGTGGTCACAACAATATGAGGTTCTTTGGAGATTGTAGCCTTTATCTTTACCATGCTGGGCTATTGCCTTCTTCCTTTCCTCCTTGGACAACTATCTCTTTTTTCCTCTGTCCATGCTTGCTGTGCTGCACACAATGACACAAAACGCCCAAGTACTTTTCTCCATTCAAATAGGCTGAGTGACTGATTATGAGACTGAAGATACCTTTGATACCAATTAAAGTAAATGGTTTGCTTGAGAAATTACTAAAATCCAATATCTTTTAATTTCTAAGGGATACCAATCATTATGTCTATGCCATTTTCATTTGTTTTATTATTTACAAGAATATGTTAAGTTATACATCAAAAGCAGTGTCTGCTCTATGGACAGAATTACTACTTGTTATTAGGAAGTTAGGCTCTGGGATTGAGTTGCATGCTGCTTTGAATGCTGCTGAAGGAAAAGTCCAAAATCTGAAAGTGCTCAGTTGCTATTAGGTTACAAGGAGTATGTCTGCATTGTTATGTCTAGTGAGCCAACTGTGATTACTCCTGCAACCAGTAAGCTACCAGTGTAAACTACAGGGTTCATATAATGGCAGCTGTGAACAAGTTCTACTGGTCACCAATTATTTATTGGATACAATTTAAGATGCTGGTGTTAATGTTTCAACCTTAGGGCCTGGTTATCTGAGTGAGTGAGTGAGTGAGTATATGTCAGGCCTTTAAGATCAACAGGAGAGGCCTTTCTGAAGATGTCCTTGCTGTTGGAGGCATATTATCTGGCATCCTAACCCTCAGTACCTGGTAGCTTCTATAGCTACTCACTCTACTTTAAGGAGGAGAGCCAAGTTGCATGTCTTTTGCCAGATTTTAAATGTTAACTGAAGTTTGCTTTGGTTTTAACTTATGCTTTCAAACTTTTACTTCCATGTTTTATTTGCTTATAGCTGCCCTGATGCTCAAAATGAACAGAAAACAGAGGAACATAGATTAAAAAAAAAAATCAAGGACAGAACTTGCCTCTGACTCTGATTCCTCGTGTGACGCTGCTCTCCTATATCGAACTTTGCTCCCATTTCTTGAATCTTGACCTGATTCTTTCTCTTCAAGCTTAGCTTTTGTCTTTCCTTTTTTCATAAGGAAGTTATCAACAACCCAAAACATTAATGCCTGTTAGAAAGGAGAAATCATGTTAAGCTCCCCTTATCTTTCATACTATTGGACAGTCATGAGATTCAAGGGATTTACAGTATATACAACACCTATCTAAATATACACAATTACATGGGCCATTAAGAAAGCTGGTTTTCTAAATCTGAGGTTCTTTTCTCAGGTTCACACACACACACAAACACAAAAGTAAAGTGCATTTCAATAGCTGGAAACATGCTTTCAATTTGCAGGTGGCACAACTTCCTTCATGCCCATAAAAGTGTGCAAGTACATTTTTAAATACTATTTGTAAATTTGTATTATAGAATCTCTAAATATAAAATCTTGCCAGTTAACCATTAAAACTACTGGCAAAAATGCTGCAGCTTTAAATGTGTAATTCCTAAACATAATTTTATGCAAGCAATTATTTTTTAAAAAATCACAGACATCGTAAAAACAAATTGTCTAAAATGAAAAATAAATGCATTGAAGATAATGTTCTTAAATTGTAGCTATTGTTTCATTAATGTGCACACACATTCCTAAACAAACATGGAACTTGAGTCCTGCAGAACCGCAAAGCAGGAATCTCTCTTTTGACTTCAGCTGTCGTTCTTGGCCACATGCAGGATTTGACTACAATCAAACAACGAACAAGCAACTAAACATCTCTGCAGGGTTCATTTAATTCCTTTTTTTTAGATCTGCAGGGATAAAGATCTCCTGAAAGCACTCTAAGGCTCTACTTCCAGATGTTTAAGGACCACAATTCAGTGAATGATAGATGGGATTTTAGGTACTTTTAGCCCTTTTTTCCTTTCCTTTCCTTTCCTTTCCTTTCCTTTCCTTTCCTTTCCTTTCCTTTCCTTTCCTTTCCTTT